AAAACTAGCATATTTGTTTTATATGACGGGTTGTTCCGTACACCTAAATTCCATAAGACATTTATTTTACAATTACTGTACGCATCTTTCCAATACAATTTAATTTAATGTATTTAAAAAAGAACTAACCGAAAGAACTGAATATTATCACATCAAGGTTAAGTTCAAAACTTAATAGTTGCCATCAATGGCTAGTGGACAACTCCATGTCTTTGCATCCTGAAAAAACTGAGTTTATTATCTTCTCATCTAGGAAAAAAATATTTGTTGCAGAAAACTGTCAGTATCTTTTTCAATGGTCAAGAAATAAAATGTAGTGACTCTGTCACATACCTTGGTTTGGAACTTCATAAATTTTTGAACGGAGAATGTTCATGCATGATATACAGTTTGACTGTATATCAAAAATTACAAAATTATTTTCAGCAGGGCATTATCAGATTATTTTCAATACCCTACAGCTACTATGGTTGAATCAATGGTGATGATGATAATGATATAAACTTGTATTGTATCTACTGCATTTCAAAATGAAACAAAAAAATATATAATAATACATTTAACTAAATAAACATTATACTGTAGGTAATTGTTGGCCTAATTTAAAAAGATGAAATACATACTGCTTTCCACCATGCAGTTTCTTTACAAAGCACAGACAATCTGGTGGAAGACCGGAATTATATAAGTGGAATGAAAGTGGGCAAACAGGAAGTGAGAAGGAAACACAGGATCAAATTAAAGCTGAAGACAGCCAAGTAATTACTGCATATCCATATAGCCTGATTTTTATACTGTAGAATTGTTACACTGCACTACAGCCATCGCTATAGTATGTAGTACCAGTCCCCAACACAATTGGGAATGCTCATCGATTTGTGAGCAACGAATCAGCAGATTTGAATCAGGTTCAACTCCTCGGATTTGTAACAGACAAACCATAACCAGTGACCAACTATCAGCTGAATTCACTATGCAAGTGTTCAGTTTCTCTTTGAGATGAACTTCATGCTTGATTTTCTCGCACAGTCTGCTGAGTTCCTTTAAATATTTACTGAATAATAATAAATTATTTCAGTTGTTTATATGATGGATTGTTCCGTAACAAAGGTTTACTGTAGGCTAAATAGTTTCTATGCCAGTCGGCATTATACTGAGAGTCTGTCGATGATATATTGTAGCTATGCTATGGAAACCTAGCTACAGTATTGCACTGACATGTTGAATAATCAATGACTCTCTTGTAAATAATGTTTTTTGTCATCCGACAAAGTAATTTTTATCGGTAGACTTTACTTCACAAAAGTGAAGATAAAACAGATAGGATAATCAATTAACTATCTTTTGTAATGTTCTTTTTTTTTTATATCTAACAGCAATACATTTTAAATAAATAAAAAAGAAATCACCATTTAATAAGACCATTTGATAAACAAACAGTAAACAATAAAATTGATTGCAGCTTTGTATATTTTAAAGCACACTTCCTAATCCTGTGTACAGTAAATAGTTGTCAAAAAAACGTAATCCTAAGGGTAAATATTGACATTTTATAAAGCTCTTTTCATGCATGCTGCAGTTAATAGGGCTAATATCAAATGCATTCTGTCAATGTTGTATAGAGCCCTAAATAGCTTTTATCCCCTGTTTCAATAGATTTGATTTCTCCTGCTCTACACTACACCATTTAATTTATTTCCTCCATGAGTACAGTTATGCCAACCATACAAGGCCAACAAGAGGAGTCTGAAAACCTTTTGAGAGGAGTATTGGCAATGCGAGTGGAGTATGGTAAATCGCTGTTGGAAAAAAGTAATTTTTTTCCAAAGACATGGTACCAATGTGATCAGATTGTAAAATATAAACGTTTTCATAAACGCTTTGACTTACACTGACGCTTTACATCGGCAATACAGCCGTGCAAGACTAGAAAGTCAAAACCGCACAGATCAGAACAAGCGTAGGCATTACCTAGTTTTGATTTAAAAATGACAGTATAATTCTCGTTATAACGTGCATGGAATGTTTGCATGTGTATTAGTTTCTTTTATGGAGGAAGCTTAACCCCTACTCACTTTTCGAGCACTGTGATGGCCTACATTGCTCTCATCAGACTATACTTTGGTGCTCGTTGTTTACTAGAGCCTAGACTGTTGTTACGAAATCAGTAGACCAGTGGAGGTTCAGAGTGCAATGCAACTCTGACAGAGACTTGGCCAATGAAATTTGGTGTTTTTTGAGATCAGTAGACCGACCGTGGAGTTAAATTTTAAAGATAACACTTCAGATGTCCAGAAATGGCAATAAAAATGTTTGGAGATAATTTCAACAACTTCTATGCAAATATTCTAATGATAATTTAAAAGGGCATTTCTAAAAAATGGGGCTCTTTCGAAACCTTTGAACCCCTGTACAGTAGCTGGATGGTCGCCAGTTCCAATCGGTTGAGACCAGCGGCGGGCTGACACAAAGTGTGGAAGTACACTTCCAATTTGTTTTCGCAATGTCAGCCCCACCCATTCTCTTTTATCGGCCTACAATTTTTTCTAAAAATGTGAGACAATGCAATTAGCATTTGGGAAGGGTTGACGTAAAAAAATACCTTGCAATTACAAGTGAGGGAATGCAGTTATGGGTAAGGGTGGGGAAGAAAAAAAATTTGCACCCCAGGTTCTCCTACCTTATGCATTAGTAATTTTCCAAGCACAAATCCACACGTACTAAGCAGTTTAACAATGTCAGTGCTAAAAAAACTTAGCCAATGGGGTAAAGTGAGCAAATTTAAAAATAAAAAATGATGAGCAGAAAATAAAGACCAGTGAATTTTCAAAGGAAGCTGAAAATCCCTTTTTAGGCCTAAAAAAAAAACTTGTTTGTTTGCTGTCATATTGTAAAAATTTGAATATAGGGGCAGGTGGAAAATAGTTTCTCTTTTTTTTTCTTTCTTTTTTTTTTTTTAACCGTTTTTTTTAAATCTATTTCAGGTTCAAGTCAAAAAATAAAGACAAGTAAATTTTCTAAGGAAGCTGAAAATGGGCAGGGATGAAAGAGTGAGAGGTTGACTTTACAGCTCATCATTTTACTCCATTGCGCTGCTTCCTTGTCTCCCTCTCAATCAAAATAAGATTAGATATGTAAATATAATAAAGTGTTATGATTTTTCAACCTTTAAAAACATTAATCAAAACCGTAGACATATTGCTTTATCATTTCCACTGCAAAGTTATGTTTTCTTGCCTGATCCAAATTAAATTAGTCTTTTCATTCTGATTTTACTTTTCTTCCATTCTTTTGTTTATTTAATCCAATTGTGAAACCAGTGCTGCATCACTGAAAGTGCTATTAATAAAAAGACAGAATTTAAAATAATAAATATACTGGTTTAGAAAATATAATTTATAGTTGGATTGCTATTGTAATTAGATACAATGTAATGGTAATCACAGTAGATAAAAATGTACAGGTACCTGTAATGTTATTTAAAAAAACCAAAACTAGGGAACATCCAATGAATATTGTAGAATAACGTTCACTTTATATTGTTAATAAACGTATTAAAAGTGTATCTCTTTTCTTCGCATTTCATTCATGTTTGGTGTTCTAAAAGAAGTGTATTGTAGGGATGGGCATAAAAATAGGACGAAGGGCAAAAATATATTTTTGATTTAACACCGAGGGCTACACCTAATTTTCTTTTAGAACTAGAGTACATACATGGTGTATCGCAAGCATTTATTTTTTTTTCCCTGTTAATTGTTATATTATAAATTCAATAAATAACAATAAAATAGGGTACAGGAGAGGAGTACAATACTACAGTAACATAAACCGCCAACTCCCTGCATAAAAACACCATCCCACATACTGCACTGTCAGAAATGTTTACAACAGTGAACATAGACCTGGGTCTAATAAAGTTTTATTTTTTTTTAAATATTATGGATGTATGATTAACAGTCCTAGCGAGTTATATCTGCTGACTATATTACGATAACCACAGAGAGGTGCACAACTCTAGTACTCTAGGTTTCAAGGCTACACGGAAAAAGCATTCGTAACAAACGTCCATGCTAGGTTGCCTGTAAGGCCTGGAGCCTCTTAACAGTACAGTACTAAACAACATAGGGCTAGGTTATACCTGATCGTGAGTGATAGGCGTACACGTTACGTTCACCGTCCTTGTATCTAGGCCCGAATCCATGTAAAACTGTTGATAATCAAAATATTGACACTCTAGGTTTACTGTTTGATTGATATTTTTAAATAGAATATAGACCGTTAGCCATCGAGCATACTGTATTTGCAAAATATCAAAACAATCGTTACGATGTAGGCAGTCTCCATTTATCATTTCTATATAACATTTAGATGGTATGATCATGGTATGATATGACGTCGATCACCATGAGAACACGATGGAGTAGAACATGATGCAATAGCGAGCATGCACAAAGCAATTGGGTCGTCGTAATTAGTTGTAAATTGTTTATCGGTTGATTATGATAAGAGCGGCTGTACTGCGTATTATAACCTTTGATGTTCGGTTCGAAAATGTTTCCATGTAATTTAACTGTTCCCTGGTTATACGAATATGGTACCGGTATATGAGAAAATAATTTATTAAAGAAATGGTGCAATGTAGCTGGCCTCAAGAGCCATCGCAATCAAGGTCTTATCACTTCAAAAAAACAAAAACAAACACTAGTAGTATAATGCCAAAACAAAACGCCAGTAAAAAGCAGTCAAAATATTTTGCAAATTCAAAATGGTGGCGATGTGGTAAAACAATAAATTATGAAAGTGAAATGAAGTGCAATAATTTATATGCCAAGGCTGATACAAGGTCATTGACCAGGCTGAAACAACTCAGACCAAAACGCTAACCTCGCTCCTTCACTATTTGGCAATCCTGTCCGACCAATTGAGTGTTCTCTTTTCTTTTCTGTTTCTTTATTTGTCAAATGTTCTTTTGGACAAAATAAATGAAATGAAATGCTTACCGACATTTTGGTGATTCGTTAGTGAACGTTTACACTCAGTGAACTGTGAAAATGAATTTATGTTCGCAAGCACCATTCAACAGCACACGGAAGTACAGTATATTGTTGATTTCGTCACCAAAAAGGGAAATTACCAGAACTTTTTTAAAGACACTACAAAGACAAACAAGAACACAGTTTACAATAAACAGAAACAAATATTTCTGGAGAACAACAATAACTGAATAACAAACTAAAAAAAAATCTAGGCTAAAAAAAATATAAAACAATGAAAAGGTTACATACATATCGTACACCTCGTGACATAGTGTTGTAGGGGCCTACCATACATACCCGTAAAACGTTGATCGATCAGGGAGGGAGTTGGATAAACAACAATAAGTATCTATCTACCTAGCCGGCCTAGCCACGTGCCATGAACTAGCATACATACTTAATCTGAATCCACAAATACAAAATTGATTAAAATGAAAATACTACTTAATACCTGAACGGACTTCATTTCCAAAACTACACCAACAGATGCAATATTGAACATGCATTTTCCAATCATCGGCATACATCGAAATATCAACAAACTTTTTACGTTAAAGTTTCCGGGTTCATCTGCCGGTTAAACTGAAGAGGGCAGCAAATTATTAACCGCACCAGAGCCATAGATAGAAAGAGTTGCGACATTGAGAATTTAGAAGCCATTTTGTGTCATACGCGATGCGCGTTTTGTGTTTAACGTGATGTGCGTTCCTGTGTATAATACAGTTAGCGGCCTCCTGTATAGTTTAATTTCATTTAATCTTTTTAGCAGTAGAATTTCATGTAACTATTTATAGATTTTTTTATGATCGCTACTTTATATCCAAATTCATATTATAAAATAATACAGTAAAAGTTTACTATTTTTAAGCAGTTCTTTAATCCTCGCCGATAGACCGAGAGAGCCCCTCGATGGCAAGCGTTCTTTAATTAGGCAATTCTTAAGTAGCTCCTATTATTTTTGCAAATAAATGATATTTGACGACCAGCAAAAATTAATTTAAATACGTATATCAAAATGTAATTTAAATCCGTCTAGGGTATATAGATTGTTGCTCTTTAAAT